TGATGACTCCAATTCTTCTGATACTGATGAACCTTTGTACACTTTAGCGTTCCATTCATCTCTCTCCTCATCCCGTCACACTAATAAATCATTTGTTTCTAAAGTTTTTTCAAAAGTTCACAAGCTTCATGAAAAGATTTCATCTCCTTGGAAACCTAAATTCTTGAAAAATACCAATTCATGTAATAAAAACAAAAAACATGGTATAAAAGGTTTGCTATCGATGTGAAGATGCATCTGATAAAGCCAGTAACTGTACTTTTGGAGAAAACACTAAAACAACTGACAATATTCACATCCAAAATAACAAGTGGATTTAAAATAATAATTCATTGAATTGTCTTCCTGCTACTTGTTATGATACTTCAATACTAAATCGATAGTGAAAAGACCCATTGAAAAATGGGTCAGTGTGTTCTAATTTGTTTTCTTAGCATTATAGGGTCAGGAGCATGTATTGTATCTTGACAGTGGGTGCTCCAGACATATGACAAAATTTAAGTCTCTCCTGGATGATTTTGTGAAAAAGGATGGCCCTAAAGTGACTTACGGAGACGACATCAAGGAAAAAAATATGCTTTTTGTAACCATTAAGTGTAAAACCATGGAATTCAAAAATGTTTCATATTTCAAGGGACTTAGACATAACCTCATCTCAATCAGTCAACTTTGTGATGCTGACTACGAGGTTATTTTCAACAAGAAGGAAGGAAACATTATTTATTCAAACAATTCAATTGTTCTCACTGCCAACAGGAAAAATGATATTTATGTGCTAGATATATTCTATTCCGATTAAGCTCACATACCTTTCTTTTTTTTTTTCTCATTCCCAGGCCCACTTGAACTGGCTATGGCACAAGAAGTTGTCTCATCTGAATTTTAAAGAACTGTAAAAGATTTACGGTGGTGAACTTGTTAGAGGAATGCCTAAGATGAAGTTTCATAAGGACAAGCTCTATTTAGCGTGTGTAAAAGGCAAACAAACCAAGTCCTCCTTTAAGACAAGGTCATGGTTTTCAATCACTGATCCATTTAATCTTCTTCATATGGATTTGTTTGGCCCAATTCGAGTTAAGTATAGATCAGGAAAAAGGTTCACTCTGGTGATTGTTGACGAGTTCCCAAGAGTTGCTTGGGAGTTGTTCCTTCGGAAAAAGAGTCATGCCACTGATGAAATCATCTTTTTTGTCAAACAAAATGAATTGTTGTATGATCAAAAGATAATGCAACTCTGAAGCGATCATGGTACCGAGTTTAGAAACTCCATACAATAGGATTTTCGTAATGTTAAGGTAATCACTCAAAACTTCTCAGTTGTCCGAACTTCACAACAAAATGGAGTTGTTGAATGACGTAATCAGACACTGATAGAGGTTGGCCGCACTATGGTTGTAGAAGTTAGTCTACCACTCTCCTTTTGTGTAGAAGCTGTCAATACAAGATGCTACACTCAAAACTGATCAATAATTGTTAAACACCATGGACAAACATCTTATGAAATGCTGAAAGGAAGAAAGCCAGATACCTCCTACTTTCATGGTTTGGTTGTGTATGTTATCTTGAATCAAAAGGATCATCACTTGAAGTTTGAAGCAAAAGCTAGTGCAGATTTATTTTTGGGATACTCGAATGAATCTAAAGCCTAAAGAGTGTTCAACATAAATTCGCATATAATTGAATAATCAATTCATGTCATTTTTGATGATGACTCCTATACAAATGATCCAATTGGTCATCTCTTGTCCATACTAGAAGAGCTAACTCATTATCCGTCTGTGGACTATGATCTGACTGGACTAATTATCTTCTTTGACATTGATCACATTCCATCATCATCATACTCCTCTAAAGACGTTGTCCAAATCAAAGAAACTATTGTTGAAGATATAAGTGAAAATGCTTCTCCTATTGAAGACCCTGAAAGGCACTCAACGACAAGAGACACTATTCTAGGACACCTGATAAATCTAATCATTAGAAATATCTCAGATGGTGTACCTAATCGACAGGAAGGTACACATAACTTTTTTTTGTTTGTCAAATTTGTCTCACTGATTGAGCCTAAGAAGATCAATGAAGCTCTCAAAGATGCTGATTGGATTAAGGTGGTGCAGTATGAATTAAATGAGTTTAAACGACACAAAGTATGAACTCTTGTTCGTCGCCCTAAGAATAAATCAATCATCAGCACACAAAGGGTTTTCCATAACAAGATGGACGGAGATGGTATTGTTATCAGAATTAAGGCACGATTGGTTGCTCAAGGGTTTACTCAATTGGAAGGACTAGACTTGAAGCAATTTGTCTTTTTCTTGCATATGGATCATTTATGAACATCATTGTATCAAATGGACGTTAAGACTTCTTTTCTGCATGAGGAGCTTCAATAAGAAGTGTTTCTCAAATAGCCTCCTGGGTTCAAAAGTGATAAGTTTCCTAATCATGTTTATAGATTGGATAAGGCAGACTATTGAATGAAGCAAGCTCCAAGGGCGTGGTATGATATTCTGACGAATTATGTTGTTCAAAACGGATATCAACGAGGTGCAATTGATAATAACTTGTTCATCATACAGTCATGATCTCATATTATTCTTGCACAAGAATATGTTAATGACATCATTTTTGGATCCACTGATGAAACCTTAAGCAAAGAATTCATAGAAGTCATGACACACAAATTCGAGATGAGCATGATGGGTGAATTGACTTTCTTTTGAGATTTAGCAGATCAAAAAACTTCCAGATAGTATCTTCATCTGTCAAAGAAAATATGTGCAAGAAATGTTGATGAAATTTTTATTCACTGACTGGTAACTAGCCAAAACTCTTATGTCTCCTTCTGTAAAGATATTCACTGATGTTGAAGAAACTGATGTAAATGCAACTATGTACTGAGGAATGATTGGGTCCCTCCAATATCTTACAGCAAGTCGTCCTAATATAATGTTTTCTACCAGCATGTGTGCTCGCTATCATGCTAATACAAAGGAGTCACATATTCATGTAGTCAAACGCAACTATAGATATTTATAGAATTCTCCAAGTCTAGGACTTTGGTATTCTCGTGACTCCCCATTTGAATTAGTTGGTTTCACTGATTCTGATTATACAGGTTGCTCTCTTGATTGAAAAGTACATCTGGTGGTTGTCAGCTGTTGGTAAATAGATTGATAAGTTGCTCTAGATCGAAAAGTACAATCAATTGTTGACTATTAAACCGTTAAAGCTGAGTATGTTGGTACCGGTAGATGATGTGCTCAAATTCTCAAAACCCCCGGTTGATGTGACAACACAAGTGTTAGTCTCATCACTCAAAATCCCTATAACACTACAAAATCAAACATATATAAATCAAACATCATTTCATCAGGGACAATGTTCAAAAAGGGAAGATTGAGCTGATGTATATTCCCACTGACGATCAACTCGCTGATATTTTCACTAAGCTACTTGATGAGCACAATATGACCTTTCTCACTGGTGAATTGGGCATGCCTTCCATGTCCTGAGGTTTTTGGTTCTTTTAAAAGTTTTTATGCACTTTGTCTTAAATGCTTTTCAACTATATCGTAATTCTAGTATTTTATTACTTTTCTTTTGAAAAATTATCAAAATCTACAAAAAAATCCTTTGCTTTCTATATATCAGAAAAATAAATAAATAAATAAATGAAGATATATATATATATATATATACATATATATATATATATATATATATATATATACAAGTCTTTATTTTCTTTTACCAAAGGCGTATACGTTGCATGTATTTATTTTTCTAATGATTAATCCCCATGACTTTTTATTGTCCATCTAAAGGCTCATGATCATCCTTCTTTCGTCTTCAAACATGGATCCGTAACTTTCTCATCCAAAGAAAATACTAGATCGTCTAATCTTGCATTTTCATTTGTTGCAAGATCTTATTATTAAGATTGGTTGCTTAAACAAATCTCAATGACTCTCGCACTTCTTCTTTGGCTATATTCTTTCAGTCAGAAGGTGATGTTTAGCGAGTTAGGCACTGAGCATCTTACTATTAACATGAGATAAGGAAGAACCGCGTCTAGACAAAATTTTATGAATGCTCTCCGTGCCTCCTCTTAACCCATCACCTATTTCTACGGAGTTATATGAATACACTAATTGTGGAACATCTAATTTCGATAGACTCCACTCATTGTCTCGCCATCCGCCATCCTCTATGTAAGAGCTCATTGTTAAGAAAACGATTCTTGCCTCCTATATCGTGATTTATAATATATTGCTCCTTTGAATATCTTTCTATTGATTTTTGTAACTCGAAGGTTACAAAGATTAGAACCTTTTAACTCGTTGGTTACCAAGATTGTGTTTCTCCAGATCTCGTTTCATGGTGATGGATATGAAGCTTGGAATCCATCAAAATTATGGCTTCTTGTAATGATAAGAAATTCACTCTCTTCATTCTTTTGTGCTAAATATTTTTTTTTGGAGCTGTGAAATGTGTGCTAATGTATCTTTCTTTTATAGACGAACTTTTATGTGGCAGGAACCTTGAAAAGAGGAAGTAATTTATGAAAATTCATTCGGACTTTATGATCTTTCTGAAAAAGCTGCAAGATTCTCTCTTTTTAAATATTTCCTTTATTTTATTTTTTCTTGTACCGCCTTAAAGAAATTGATGGTAAAGCCATGATTCTAGACTGAAGCTTTGACACTTAAAAATTTTCCTAGAAGCATTTTGTTGAATGTCTCAAAATCTCTCTAATTATCTCATCAGCAAGACCATATGTTGAGATGTCAT